TGCCTGCCAGTGCAGGAGACGCAGGTTTGATCCCTGGGTCAGAAGGATCCCCTGGGTCAGAAGGATCCCCTGGAAGAGGAAATGGCCGCCCACTCCAGCTTTCTTACCTGGACAATCCCATGGACAGACAAGCCTGGCAGGCTGCAGTCCTTGGGGTTGGAAAGAGTCGGACATGACTGAGCAACTGAACACACACACAAATTCCAACATAATTTTTACAGTATGAGCATCACAACATACTAAATATTAAATATGATGTTTAAAGTGACTTAAGGTGGCTCAGACGGTAAAGCATCTGCCTACAATGTGGAAGACCCGGGTTCAAACCCTGGGTCAGGAAGATCTCCTGGAAAAGGAAATGGTAACCCACTCCAGTATTCTTGCCTGGAAAATCCCATGGATGGAGTAGCCTGGTAGGCTCCAGTCCACGGGGTCGCAAAGAGTCAGACACGACTGAGCGACTTCACTAAGGTGACTTAAACATGTAAGTCACCGTGTCGTTTTTTTGCAACCCTAAAGAAAAACTAGGTATGTTAGCTTTACATGGGCTTTGAGTTGGCCTCTAAGAAGGTGTTTTTCAAAGGTAATTCAGCCATATGGCATTAGAAATAAAATCTTAATATTTAAACCCTCCAAGAGGAAAACTGGGGTCTTTGGAAACCATAATCCAGGAAGGTTAAGAAGGAAACTTTCTTTTAAAAGATACTTTCTTAGCTTTCGTTTTGGGAGTGAAGCAGTCTGCATCTTCAGAGCCGCTTCTTTTCCTCTTTCCTGCTTTGACTAAAGGTTGTGGACCTACCTCAATAGCTTTTGCAGCTTGTTCTTGTGTTTCAAATTCCACGAAGGCAAATCCCTTTGGGTCCCCAATAGACTTATAATGTGGTATACTTATATAAACAACATTGCCACATTTCCCAAATACTCTCTCAGTCCAGCTGTGGTTAACATTTTTGGGAAGCAGTTCCTATGGTAAATTAGTAATAAATAAAGTGTTGAAAACCTTAAAAAAAATCTTAATATTTAATCCTGTGTATGGTATAACTTCATCATATTCATTTTTAGAAAATTGATCTTACAGATTGATATAACTCTATTGTTTACAGGATTCCTGACACTTAGAACCTCTCTCTGCCTTACCTTCCATTCACTCTGTGCATTGCTTTCTTATTCATTTCTCAGTGCAGACTTGGTTAATCATCTTATTTTTAAAAAAAGACAAAATGAAGAACCTTGATATAAACAGCTCCTTAAATTTGTACAGGGCTTTTGAAAACACTTTTGGGGATTTCCCTGGAAGTCCAGTGGTTAAGACTCTGGGCTCCCACAGCAAGCACGGGGCATGGGTTTGATGCCTGGTCAGGGAACTAAGATTTGACATGCCTCATGGCACGTCCAAATAATTTAAATAAATAAAAGTGGGCACTTCTTTAAAATGTTACTAAAAAAAAAAAAGACTACTTCTGTTTACATGTTTTCTGTAATTTTCTAAATAGACTTAAGAAATATGTATTCCTACCTCAATTTTGCTGATAAAAGTCTTACCCTGGGTTACCTGGCTATTCACTGGTGAAAGCAGAACTATATTTCATTTTTTGGTTATAACCTTGCTTTTTCCACTGTTCTGGACAGTTCATTAACATACTGAAAGTGCAGGCCTAGCATAGTAAAAATGCAGAATCTGAAATCAGACTGCCCATGTTTATAATCTGGTCCTTCCACTGCCTGACTGTGTGACCCTGAAGAAATGACTTAATTTTTCTGTCACTTAACTTTTCCCTTTTAGTAAAGTATGAGCAGTTTAGTTCAGTTGCTAAGTTATGTCCAACTCTTTGCGACCCCATAGACTGCAGCACACAAGGCCTCCCTGTCCATCACCAACTCCCAAAGCTTGCTCAAACTCATGTCCATTGAGTCAGTAATGCCATCCAACCATCTCATTCTCTATTGTCCCCTTCTCCTCCTGCTTTCAATCTTTCCCAGCATCAGGGTCTTTTCCAGTGAGTCAGTTCTTGAATCAGGTGGCCAAAGGATTGGGAGTTTCAGCATCAGTCCTTCCATTGAATATTCTGGATTGATTCCTTTAGGATGGACTGATTTGATCTCCTTGCAGTCCAAGGGACTCTCAAGAGTCTCCTCCAACACCACAGTTCAAAAGCATCAATTCTTCAGAGCTCAGCTTTCTTTTGGTCCAACTCTGTCACATCCCTACGTGACTACTGGAAAAGCCATAGCTTTGACTAAACGTTACCTTTGTTGGCAAAGTAATGTCTCTTGCTTTATAATATGCTGTCTAGGTTGGTCATAGCTTTTCTTCTGAGGAGCAGGCATCTTTTACTACATAGCATGGCTCATAGTTTCATTCAGTTAGACAAAGCTGTGGTCCATGTGATCAGTTTGGTTAGTTTTCTATGGAGCGTGGGCAGTAGTAGTACCTATTTCTTTGGGTGGTGGTTGTCTCTTTTTTATTCTGCACATGTAAAACATTTAGACCAACACTTAGCACCATCATATGTACAAAATGTTGTGATATATATATCCTGTAGTATTTTTTAGAAAAGGGAGTTGTGCCTGGCCATTAACAGTAAGTTACAGAGATGGGACTTGAATGGACCCCATCCAGTTGTGTCCCATCCCATTGAGATGGCTCTAGAAGAATGTGTAGAATTTAGATCAGATGATGAAGTGGTGAAGGCATTCTTAAAGGAGCTTCATGAGAAAATTTAGAGGCAAGAGTTGGCATTCTTTTTTGGGAAGGGAAAGAAGCTTGTGTCTGACTGGCTCTAGACTAACAAGAGGTGGGCCAAGGCCTTGAAAGACTTTGAAGCTGACACCTGTCAGTTGAGTCATGTGTAAAGGAGGCCTTTATAGACGTGATGACCTGATGGTGGTGTGCACTGTGAAAACAGCGGCATGGTGCCCAGAAGGGAGGCCTTGCCCTGTGCTAAGGTTATAGCAGTGATGAGAGAGAAAGGGCCTGAGAAGTTTTGAAGCACTTAATAAGTATGGTTCACCTGAAGGTAGGAGTGAGTGATCGAACTCTGGAGATTTCTAAAGGCCTACGGTAAGGTATATATCCAGGTAATGATTGGTATTGCTGAGTAAACAAAATGTTAAGGGAGCCAGTTTAACTGATAACTCATTTCCTAGAGCATTTGAACCTTGGTTAAGAAGATTCTTCTCAGATGAGTTATTTAATTTGATATAAGAGTCTAGGGTTTCAGTGTTTTACTTAAACTATGTAATCCTCTGTTGGAATCTAACTTACAGAGCAACTAATAGAAAAATCATTTGGCAGTTAAATCATTCCTTCGGTTGTGTTCCCAAAGCTCTATGCAGATACTTCAACCCTGACCCATATAATTCCTTGCCATAATTATTATGTTTTCATCATCTCTTAAATTCCTAAAGTTTAGTGACTGGATCTAAGTGTTAATTCTGCATAACCATAATAAATACTCAGTAAATATTTATGGGGTGAATGAGTATATTTTGGGTTATGATATAAATCATATTTGTCCTGAATGAAACAGCACTAGCTTAGAAATATTTTGATTGTGATTTGGTGGGGAGGGAGTTTGTTTATTTGGAGTGTCACAGTGTACATGATTTGTTAGTATGGCTTCTACTTTTTTTTTTTTTTTTGGCCAAACTGCACAGCATGTTTGATCTTAGTTCCTCAAGCAGAGATCGAACCCGTGCTGCCTATATTGGAAGCTGGAGTCTTAACCACTGAACTACCAGGAAAGCCCCATGATTTCCCTCTTTAGCATCCTATTAGAACATGAGATCTCCTCTACTTTGCCTCTCCAATCACGTGGATAATGTAATCAGTAATTCTAGTGTCAACTCAGCCTGTAATGTTTATTGATTAGATAAAAGATTTAAAATTTCTTCTCTAATGAAAAGTATCAAAGCTCAGTAAAGGACGTCAAGTGGTAATAGTTTGGCCCTCATTATTCTGCTCCTCAGTGGGCTGCCAAGTTGTTGACCTTCTCAATTTAACTTATCAAGTAATCAGTTTCAAATAAGTCTCATGATTTTCTGCTGATTTAGTGCTGTTCTCCTAATTCTGTGGAGGTGTGGCAAAACACATCACTAACCTTTTGGGTTTCAGTTAACCATTTATTTGGCTGTCCTGTCAGTAGCCTGTGTTGTAGCTTTCCACTTTGTCCTGCCGTGTACCACAGACCCTTTAAGCCCTAAGTCACCCTGACTGATTTCTCCCTGCACCTGAGATTCTCCACCCACCACTCAGACCATTGCCCCTTGACAGAGTAGCTTTTGCTTCAACACCTTATTTTTATGTTTTTAATGAAATTCAGTTGTCTCATGCTTGCCATTTGATTTTGATGACCTGGGTTATGTGTGTATGTGTGTGTTTTTAAACGACAGCCCTTTAAAGGCAGAGATACTATGCTAAATATATATATATGTATATATGTATATTTTCTTTCTCAGGGAATTATATTTTATTAGGCTGACTTCAGATAACTGGTTTGCAAAACATGACTCCAGTTTTGTTGATGTGTATATACGTGTGTGTGTGTCCGTGTATTTTAGATCTAGGAGTTTTGCCTCAGAGAATGTCAGAATTAAATGGGACTATAAAGATACCTGTTCTTTGCTTGATTACAAAGTTGTATTGCTATTGTCTGATGGTAATAAAGAGATTTTTGGAGTGCCCTGGCAAGTGGGAAATTGGTTCCATAGGCTTGGTTTTAGAAAAGTACCTCTCAAAAGTTTTGCTTCCAGGACCTCCTTATACACTACGTAGTTCTGTATGGTACCTGGTTCTGTAATAATTTAGCTTCTTGCTTGAAGAAAAAAGAATACCACTTATTAAGAGTGCCAACAACTTATTACTTTATTGTCCATTTTAACAAAGTACTACACGTGTAATAGGAATCAGAACTTTAGTTGTTTAGAATGACACTGGATCTGTTTTTTTCAAATCTTTGCTTCATTGATGTATTAATCGCTATTTTATGTTTTCTCTGCAGGCCTCAGCTGTTGAAGAATGCTCTGCAGAGAGCAGTAGAGAGGGGCCAGTTAGAACAAATAACTGGCAAAGGTGCTTCTGGAACATTCCAGGTTAGAGGCTCAAAGGGTTGGTTGTAGAGTAGTTCTCAAAAGTTTTGGTTTCAGGACCTCCTTATACTCTAATTTATTGAGGACCCCAAGAGCTTGTGTTCATGTGGGTTATACATGCTAATATTTACCGTATTAGAAATTATAACTGAGGACCTTTTTAGATACTTACTCTTTTTAAAAGTAATAAACCTGTTACATGTTGACATAACACTTTTTATGAAAACTGCGTTTCCTGTAATGAAAGAAGGTTACTATTTGTTACGTTTTTACGAAAGTCTTTACTGTCTAGCTTAATAGAAGACAGCTGGTATCTGTTTTTAATATATTTGGGGTTACATCTGTGAAGAAAATCCAGCTCACACCGAGTACTTAAATGTGAAGTAACTAGGGTAATTTTCAGAAGTCAATACTATTCTTTGATAGTATACCAACACTCAACAAATGATAGTTTTTGTAATAGCTTTATTGAAGTATGATTTGTATACTGTAAGATACAGTCATTTTACATTACAATTTATGAGTCAGTAAAATTTAGTAAATTTACAGTGTTGTACACCTATCACTGCAATCCAGTTTTAGAGCATTTCCGTCACCCCAAAAACCTCCTGTGCCCATTCGCGTCACTCGTTCCCATCCCCATCCAGCCTACTCATCTTTCCTTCCTGTGTAGATTTACCTTATACCTTTCACAAAGATAGAATCATACAGTATGTGCTCTTTTGTGTCTGACTTCTTTCACTGAGCATAATATTTCTTTAGTTTTATCCATGTTGCAACAGAAATGAATCCTTTCATTCCTTTTATTGCCAAATAGTATTCCATAATGTGACATGTTATTTATCCATTCACAAGTTGAGTTATTTCTGCTTTTTAGCTATTGTGATTAATATTGCCTATGACCATTTATGTCCAGATCTTTGTGTGGATATATGTTTTTATTTCCCTTGTGGTAAAGTAGGAGTGTGGACTGCCTGAACTACATGGTAAATTTATTTTAAGAAACTGCCAAAGTGGCTGCATCATTTTTCATTCCCACCAGCACTGTGTGTATAAGAGTTCCAGCTTCTCCTTATCTTTGCCAACTCTCTTACTGTCTTTTTGAAAATTATACCCATACTAGTAGATAGAAAGCAGTTTCTCATTGTAGGTTTAGTTTGCATTTCCTTAAGACTGTTGATGTTGACCATTTTTTCTTGGATTTATTGGGCATTTATTTATCTTTGGTAAAATGTCTATTACACATCCTTTGCTTATTTTTAGAATTGAGCTATTTGTCTTATTATGAGTTATAAGAGTTATATGTGAAAGTCAGTTGGTTGCTCAGTTGTGTCCAACTCTGTGACCCCATGGACTGTAGTCCACCAGACTCCTCTGTCCATGGGATTTCCCAGGCAAGAATATTGGAGTGGGTTGCCATTCCCTTCTCCAGGGGATCTTCCCAACCCAGGGATTGAACTCAGGTCTCCTGCATTGCAAGCAGATTCTTTACCCTCTGAGCTACCAGGGAAGCCCCATTTAAGCCTCTGTATAAGAGTTATATAACTGGATACAAGTTCCTCTTCAGATATGTGATTTGCAAATATTTTCTCCTATTCTGTGACGCATGGTTTCACTTTCTTAATGGTGTCTTTTGAAGCATGAAAGTGTTTAATTTTGGTAAAGTCCAGTTGATCATTTTCCTAAGTTGCTTGTTTGTTGATTTATTAATAAATCATTGCCTAGCTTGAAATCCAAGATTTACTCTTATCTTTTGAGAGTTTATGGTTTTAACCCTTACATGTAGATCTGTGATCCATTTTGAGTTAAGTTTTGCTTATGATGTGTGATAAGGATATAAATTCATGTTTCTGCATGTGGACGTCCAATTGTTCCAGCACCACTTATTGTAAAGACTGTCCCTTCCTTGTTGAATTGCCTTGGCACTTTTATCAAAACGTAATTGACCATGAGTATAAGGGTGTTTTTTCTGGACTCTTCATTTCTGTTACATTGATCTATATGTGAATCTTCATGTCAGGATCACACTATCTTGATAACTGTAGCTTTATAGTAAGTTTTGAAATTGGGAAATGTAAGTCCTCTCTTAACCTTCTCTTTTTCAAAATTTCTTTGACTGCTCTGGGTCTTATGCATTTCCATATGGTTTTTACAATTCATTCATCATAAAAATCCACCTGAGGTTTTGGTAGAAATTGCATTGAACCTATAGATCAATCCAGAAGGAATCACTGCCTTTACAATGTTGTGTTTTCCAATCCATGGACAAGCATTGTCTCTTTGTTTATTTAGATCTTTAACTTCTCTCAGCAGTGCTTTGTAGTTTTCAGTGTATACATCTTACGTTTCTTTTGTTAAGTTTATTCCTAAATATTTTGTTCCTTTTCCATGCTATTGTGAATGGAACTTTATTTTCATTTTTCAGAGTACTCACTGCTGTCCAATAGAAATACATTTGGTTTAAAAAAAAAAAGAAATACATTTGGTTTATCTATTGTTCTTGTATCCTGCAATCTGCTGAACTCATTTAAGAATTTTTTGTAGGTTCCTTGGGAATTTGGGGGTGGATTCCCTTGGATTTTCTGCATATAGGATAATGTCATCTGCAAATAAAGACCATTTTACTACTTCTTTTCCAATCTGGATGTCTTTTTTTTTTTTTCCCCTCTATGCCTGTGCACTAGATAGAACGTCTACTACAGTGATGAGAATAGATGTTTTTGTCTTGTTACCCATCTTAAAGGGAAAACATGCATTTTTTTTCACCATTAAAGCTGTAGATTTTTCATAAATGCCTATTATCAGATTGAGAAAGTTCTATTACTAGTTTGTTGGAAGTTTATGATGAATGGTTGTTGGATTTCTCACATACTGTTCTAAAACTGTGGAGATGATCATATGCTTTTTATCCTTAGTTCTGTTAATATTATGTTAATTGATCTCGTGGTATTTCTTAAATTACATTAAAATTGCCATGTGAAGCCTGAAACCATTTTAGTGAGCTCCTGTACTCAGTAACCTTAAATTTCTTTGGTTTGTCTTGAACTTTGAGTGCATCTCTTTTAATTGTAATTTTATAACACAGTCATTTGAAAAACAGTAGTTCACTGAATCATGCAGATTTTTTAAATGTTGACATAATTCATCAAAATTAACACAAATCATATTCATTAATATCACCTACTGATCTCATCAGAACATTTAAGTGTTGGGAAATTATTGTGCTCACAATGGTAGGTGCAGATTTTCCACAGTTTATCTCTTGAAAAGTTAAATTTATCATTTGGTAGCAAATACTGTTAGTTGTTTTCCTTGGGCTGATAGCCTTACTTAATTCTTTTTCAAGAAAATGTCTACCAGATACCCAGGTCTGGATGGCCATAGATTATCTATTAATTGGTCCTTCAAGTAAAAAGGATATTCCATGAAAAATGTTGCTAATTCGGCTCAGAACTCAATCACTAGGTGCTTTTGCTTGAGACTGTCACCGTCCCTCCACATGCAGCTGGCAGGCCGTATACATTCTTCTCATTTTGCCCCCTAGAGTATCAAAAAGACATGCGTTGGAGTTGAGATTTAATAAAATCATTTTTATATCAAAGACATTGCTATATGAAGCTAGCTTTTATTTTTCTTCCATAAGTATATAGTAGTAAAAAACGCACTAACTACTGGTATATTTCTTTGCCTCCACCACGATTTGTAGTAAAGTAATAGCAGTTTTACTGATCATTGTTTTTCCACCATCAGTGCAGATGTCATCACAGTGAAAAAGACAAACCCATCTTAGAATTATTATGAAAACCCAGTTTTAACCTTGCAGATCCTCTGAAAGGGTCTCAGAACCCTTTGGGGTTTTTGGACCTTTCTTTTGAGAATCACTATTATAGACCATACCTCAGTTTGTTCTTTAACCTTTTTGCTTACTGCTGCCACCTTTGTTAGCACTGGTGCCTTTTGTCCTTGAAATACGATATATAATTTTCTGTTACACCCCAAATATTTGTCAGACTTTTTTGCTGTTTTCCTTACAAGATTAAAACTACTATTATTTTTGTAAATACTCCCATTTTTCAAGTTCAGAAAAAAGGAAGTTGTCTCAAAAGTGTTCATTTATCAGGGACATAACCAGTTAACCTCCTTTTTGGAGTAGAGTTGTTGTTCTCTTTGGGTTATGTTGGCTTTTGCTATTTTCAGTTGGATAGAGGGATAGCTAGAAGGAGAAAATATCCACAGGAGGGTTGGGACTCCTCAGTTAGACTGAATACCTGATGAGTGGGAAGAGAAAGTCCCTAACCTGACAATTTACTGTAAAACATATCTGTGCTAATGCAGGAACTCCGACCCACCTGGTGCAGAGGAGTCTTGTCTTGAGCTGCTTTGGGAGAGTGTTGTCTTGATGCTTTTCTCTTCCTCCTTGGAAAACAGCTGAAGAAATCAGGGGAGAAACCCCTGCTTGGTGGAAGCCTGATGGAATATGCAATCTTGTCTGCCATTGCTGCCATGAATGAGCCGAAGACCTGCTCCACCACTGCTCTGAAGAAGTATGTCCTGGAGAACCACCCAGGGACCAATTCTAACTATCAAAGTAAGACTCAGAGCTGCACGCTCAGTGGGGACCCGGGGAGGTGGGGGAGTTACCTTGTGGGAACATCCCTAGGTCATGCTTGTTCATGACAGAGCGTTACCTACTGACTGAAACCCAAGAGGGAACAACCGTACAGATTTATTATTTACAAAAGACAAAAATAATCAAGACTTACCCTTAATTTATAGTGTCTGCTGAGGATTATAATTTGATTTCACTTTACTATAAAGATTTTTTTATGCTAATTTTTATTGTAATAGAGATAAATTTCTAGGTTCAAAACACCTCTCAGGTGGGACTTCCCAGCGATACAGTGGTTAAGATTTCGAGCTTCCAAAGCAGGGGATGTGGTTTTCCCACAGTCCATGTGGCATAGCCAAAAAAACTCTCTCAAGTATAGTATCTTTTTACCTTCTTCTGAATGTTTACCAAAACATCTAGTGTCATCCTGAAACCAAACCAGTGGGTTAAAATACCGCTTATGTGATTTCTTATTGACTTAACCCCTGCACAGAAACACTTTTCAGTGGACACGTTTAACCCGTCAGGTGACGGTCGAGGTTGGAAACCTCGCTGCACAGCAGGGCCTCTGACGGGTCAGTGAGATGTGAACTAGGAGAGTGGGCACCGTGGTGTAGGGTGAGGAACCTGAAAATTAAGTCACAGAAAATACAAACTAGAACATATTGTTTTAAATGAAACACTTTTCAGGTCTTAATGTTGACTTTTAACATATGCAATATGTGTTTTTTAATGTTCTGAAGGAATGCTTTGTGATTTTGTGTGAAAGGTAGGACTGGTGAGGCCTTTAGAAGCCATGATACTGTTTTGTTACTATTTGCTGCTTCATGTGATATATGGTTTATCTTTATAGACTTTCTCCTAAGTGCTTATCAATACTTATAGGCACTCAATAGATATTTAAAATAATAGAAATAGAGATTGAGTTTTAAGTCAACAGTTAACCATTTATGTGCAACTGTAGGGCAGGTCACTAGTCACTCTAGGCTGCTGTTTTACTTTCTGTGTAGTGAGGAATTTGACACAATGGTCTCTGAAGTCTCATCCCATATTCTTGCCAAATTCATGGGCATGTAATAGTAATTAAGTAAATTAGTTAATAATCCCTTTGACCACAAAGGATTCATTTAGCATGTGACAGTTGCTCAGTCATGTCCGAGTCTTTGCAATCCCATGGACTATACAGTCCATGGAATTCTCCAGGCCAGAATACTGGATGTGACAGGATAATAAATAATGTATAATAGATTGTAGTTGAGAGAATTATCAAATACTTTCTTCATTTCTGACTTTTTATCCAGTGCATTTGTTGAAGAAAACCCTGCAGAGATGTGAAAAGAATGGGTGGATGGAACAGATATCTGGTAAAGGATTCAGTGGCACCTTCCAGCTCTGTTTTCCCTATTACCCCAGGTAAGCACCCAACCTGTAGTGTGAAGTAGTGGTCACTGCAAATTTTAAAAATCTGACTCCAGATTACTGGTGTGGCTTCACTTATTTGCCCGTATTACCGTTAAAGTGAACAGAATGTACTTGAAAATAAAGACTTCTTCAGGCAGTATTTTAGAGCAGAACGTCTTCATATAGTAAAAGGGGACTGATCTGGCCTGTCCTGCTGAAGCTCATTGTTAGCCAGGTGTTCCCGAAATCAAGCATTGAGTTCTTTGAGATCCTTGGCCAGTCATTAACATGTTCAGTCCTGCTAATAAGAGAGAAAGTACATGATGATGACAGGAAGATTATTAGAGGATTATTTGTTCTAATTGTCCGGTACCAAGTAGGGGGAACATTGGCTACTTCTAAGAATCCTAATCTGCCTTCTTCATGCTATAGAGACAAGGACATTTTTTTGAAAACTTCTTTCTTATACATGCCTTATTTATTCATTGAACCAAAAAATGTACTGAGCACCTTCTATGGACCAGGCATTTTTCTGTGTACCCAGGCTATTGCCTTTTTCTACTTTGATTTCCAATCAAGTGCCATGACACTGAAACCTATTTTGGCAGGCATATAGTGTGTAGCTTTCTTATATTGCTCTTTATGCATAAACATGCCATGTCATGTTCTACACCTTCCTGTGTAGGAGCTGCATGCATGGAGCTCAGTCATATCCAACTCTTTGTGGCCCCATGGACTGTAGCCTGCCAGGGTCCTCTGTCCATGGGATTTCCCAAGTCAGAACGCTGGAGTGGGTTGCCATTTCCTTTTCTAGGTGCATAAACATAAGTGTTACTTCATTGAATGTACAGTATTTGAATTTTTCAAATGTTTAGCTTTAAAGATAATTCTTAAAATCATGTATATACAGTGTTATGATTTAAGGATTTATTAATCAGTGGTACCAAGTTTTCTATCATTAAAGACAAAGAAAAGTTAGAAAATCCTTGCTGAATTTCTCAAAAACTTTGAAGAGATTCAGGCTTTATGAGGTCTTGTATCATAAGGGCAAAAAATATATACTGCTATGTAGACTGTTCACCGCTGTATGGACTGTTCACTGCTGTATATTCAGTGCTGATACAGTGTCGAACACACATCAGGAGTTTAAAATACCTTTACTAAATAAGTGATTAACTGTCAGTTTTATTAAATGGAGGGAGGAAGAGAATGAGTTATGTTTGAGACTTTTATAGATTTGTCATAACTTCATTTGAGTGTTCAAAATAGGTTAAATTGTGACCTGGTATTTGTAACCTAACCTGACTTAATTGGGGAGTGTGGGAGGAAGTGGGTAATGTCCAGGAAAGAGCATATCTAGGTTCACATCCTTTTTCTTGTCCCGATGGGACTTCTCTTTATCTAATATTTTTTCTTACTAGCCCAGGAGTTCTGTTTCCAAAGAAAGAGCCAGATGATTCTAAAGATGAGGATGAGGATGAGGATGAAGATGAAGATGACTCATCAGAGGAAGACTCTGAAGATGAAGAGCCACCACCGAAGAGAAGGTGCGAGTGTGTGGGAAACGGTTCTTAGAGCCGAGAGAGGCTGTGACAGGAGAGGCTGCGAGATGCGTGCCAGCAGCTCCCGATCCTTCTCAAGCGCTCTGTGTGACGTTTGAACTTACCCTCTTCTGAGAATTTAGAGGCTCTACACTTGTGAAACACTGTGAATATTTAATTACTCTTTGGTCAGACCTCTGTGTGTATGCGTGTGTGTGTGTATGTGTAGTGTGTGGTTTAGTTACTTGAAGAAAAATGATTCCATGTTTTTCCTAGAAAAACATTATGTGTAGACTTCCAGAATTGGTTGAATTTTTATACAATTTCAGGTGAAAGGTTATAACCCATATTCTTCTTAATGTAGGTGATGTAACCTGTGCTGTTTCTTTTCTGGCAAAGTATCTCGTCATCACAGTGCAGTGACTCTCTCGAGTACTAAGTGATTGCCTTCGCTGTTTGGGTCTCACAGGTTGCAGAAGAAAACCCCGGCCAAGTCACCAGGGAAGGCTGCAGCCATGAAGCAAAGAGGGTCCAAGCTGGCGCCCAAAGTCCCAGCGGCCCAGCGAGGGAAAGTGAGGCCCCTGCCCAAGAAAGCCCCTCCTAAAGCGAAAACGCCTGCCAAGAAAGCCAGACCCTCACCCTCAGTCATCAAGAAACCTAGTGGTAGCTCTTCCAAGAAGCCTGCAGCCAGTGTGAGAAAGGAAGTGAAATTGCCTGGCAAGGGCAAATCTACCATGAAGAAGTCATTCAAAGCAAAAAAGTAAATTTTATAGTAAAAAAGGGTATCATGATGAAATTCAAAATCTTATTTTCTAAGGTCAGTGTGCATTTGTTTTAGTTTTGATGCTTTTAAAATTACATTTTTTTTCCCTCCCCTATGAACACTATGGGGAGGGAATATAAATAAACCAGTTTAGCCATTTGTTAGCTTTAGGTGCTGTTTTGGTGCCTGCCCCTCCTCCTCCCAGTCATTTTAAGTTGTGCGATAATTTTGGACTTTTCCTCAACTGTAGAGTCTGTCCTTGTCCTTTTTTCTCCCTCCGCCCCAGCCCGCTTTCTTTTTTAATGGTCTGCTTTGGCTTTTTTTTTCTTCCAGTTTTATCTAAACAGTTGCAAAGATTTTTATATTTCTTAGAAACCATCGAGAATGGGATGCTGGTCAGGTGCTGGATGTAAAAAGGAGGCAGCGTAGCACTGACTGAATCATAAAGCCTCCTGCCTGGAGGCTTCACTGACAGCCGCCGTAATAACTCATCTTATTTATAAAACCACTCTGCTAACCCTCTCTCTATCCAAGTGTAAACACAGAGATGTCTTAGCTTTGGGGGTAGGCCAAAAGCACCCTGATCTCGTTAGCTTCTGAAGCTCCATGACTCCTTTGGGCCACTTTTCCATTGCTCAATTTCCAGGTAGTTTTCATTGATCCCTGGGTATCGCATTCCCACAATAGCAAGCACAAGGTCTCTCCACCACTTGGTTTTTGACTGAAGAGGAAATAGAGGAACATGCTGAATTTGTGATTTCTGGTGTCACCTGTATTACCAAAAATTAAAATCTTGATCAGATAGTTAAATATATTTTTAATATTTGGAGCATGAGTTGTCACTTCCTCTTTTCCTTTTTTATAAGGAAATGTTGGAGAGTTACACCATTGCTAATGTAGAAACGAGAAATGAAAAAACATACAATTTGCTAAAACATTTCAAATTTATCTGTGGGTTTTTTCCCCTCTTTTCTTTCCACAGCACTTTTGATAACAAACAAGTGGCTTCCTTTTTTGAGTTATTTAAAAAGAGAAAAGAAAAAAACAAATGAAGCCTGACTACCTAACTCTTCCTTATTTGTATTTGTTTTAGTATTGTGAAGTTGTGTTAAATAGTATTAGCTTCCTAAGAAATATTGATTTCCGGTTATCATTTATCCTCCCTGTGGCACTTGACATTTTAATTGTCTTAAATTTTTTGGTGTACATCTTCTGGCCCCAGTGCTGCCAGAGGCAAAATATGTTTGTTTAATCCATTCCATTTGCATTGTCTCCTGGGATCCCGTCTGCAGCCTGAGGCTGGCTGGGAGTTGGACTTGAGAAGACTGGCTTGAGTTAGATCGAGAATCATGTGTGATCCCATCATGAGTTTATTGGGATTTGTGTTGCATGTAAGGCAATCTTTTCCTGTTGTAAATCTTCCTTTTTTTATGTACATATATTTTGAAAAATATGAATAAACATGGAATTTTAAAAGCTGCTGAACTGTAGCTTGTATTTAAAAGTTTCTAGAATTCTTCAGAAGTAGTGTTTTACTCACATTGAGCCTTCTCTGCTCCTTGTACTAGCTGTCATCCATTTTCCTTTTTAAATACCAGCTCCAACAAGGTCCAGTTATTTCCTTTTTTGAATTTTTAAATGGATGGTGAATGTTTTTACTACATTGAACCTGATTATTCAGTGCATAAGGGATTTTTAAAAATCTCTTTGTATTTAACAAAGTCGTTGTTTTCAAGGTCATAAATTCCAGTTTTTCATGTTTAGTGTTCATATATGTCCCTGAACTAGAAAAAAACACAGCATTGCAAAAAGATTGATAAATCCTCGGCCTACTTCTAGAAAATAATCGAATTTTCTGTTACGCTTTTTAGCAGGTAATAATTTTTTTTAATATTTTTATTTTAAATCATTTATTTATTTGGGTCTTAGTTGCAACATGTGGGATTTAGTTCCCCAACCAGGGATCAAACCCAGGCCCCCTAGATTGAGAGCTCAAGAGTCTTAACCACTAAACCACCAGGGAAGTCCAATAATTCTTAATATTATAGTTGTTATTATAATACTTCCTGTGCTAAGAATTCTCTACTCTTTTGGAATCAGAAGTGAGGGTTTTGGTTGGTTTCTGTGTTTTGTTGTAAAGAGACTGCCTGAAACATTCATCTGGTGGCTATGTTGTATATCAGGCACTCGCGTAGAGTGAGACATTGAGATCGTTTCAGGTCCCTTTCCACCCTGACATTCTGTTAAATTCATAGAATTCAGGTGAAGACAGACCTGTCCTTGATTTTAGCATCATGTAAAGGGAAAAGACAAGAGGGCCATTGCACTGTTCCAGGGAAAATCCCCCGCTATCAGAGATGCATACCTTCCTGATGTTGAGATAAAGGGATGTTTGGGTTTTTTCCCTCCCAGGCATTCTCAAGGAGGAGAAGGCACAGTTTTTGCTTCCATGTTACAGAAAGGTAAACAGCAAACCAAACCCAAGAGAGAACCCAACAGTTCCTGGCCCGGATCAGTGGCTTCAGTACTGTGAGTGGCTTTTAGTGAGCTCAGATGCAGTGTTTCACATGTCCTTCAACCACCTACAGACAGCCTTTGATAGGTGAATCTCAGAAGGTGCTGGGAGAGAGTGTTGGCTTCCTAAAGCTCAAATGAGAAAGAAGAGATACCACTTCAGAGAACGGTGGAGACATATTTTTAAAATTATGACAAGCTTTCAACACAGGGAGAACTCCATCCTAACTATTCACGCAGATTTAACTAAGGGAAGCCTGATCCAGTCCTGTCTGTTGGCTATAACTAATGGGAAATCACATGAAAACAAGGGCTAGGTAATATGCCTGTACCTTGGACATTTTTTATTTCCGTCACTCCTCTTTTGTAAAATTTTGTCAGCCCAGTCTAGGCTTGCTAACCTATCCTTATACCTAAGAAGTTATTCTTGCTCAACCTGAGGTACTTTGCCATCCTAAACTGTCAGGGGAAAGAGGGTAAGCCAGCTTTATTCATGAACTGTTGTACTTGGCTAACTAAACACCAGCTAAAAGAGCCTTTAATCCAAAAACTTATAGTTGAAGCTTTTCATTTTTGGAACCTGATAAATGATATTTCTTTTTCTTTGGGTCAAGCAAAAATTCGTATTTTATCCATGAAGAGAAATTCTATTCTTTTTTTTTTAAAAGGTAGATTTTTTCTTTAATTAATTTTATGTGTTATTTATTTAGCTGTGCCAGGTCTTAGTCACAGTATGCAGGACCTTCAATCCTTGTTGCAGTACACAGGATCTTGAGTTGTGGCATGTTAACTCCCAAGTTGCTGCATGTGGGATCTAGATCCCTGACCAGGGATTGAACCTAGGCCCATTGCATTCGGAGCATGGAGTCTTAGCCACTGGACCACCAGGGAAGACCCAGAAATTCAGTTCTTAATTGTGTAAAGATCATTCATTATTTTCCCCAGAGGTTCTGACTGACATTTCTGTTCCCAACGTGTAGAGTTGCTTTTGCATTTTTGCAATAGAACAGATGGTACTCAGTTCCGCGGAGCTGAAGCTAGAGAACTGGAACTGTTGAAGCTCTGGGCCTGGGACCTGCTTGACGGATGCGTGCTCAGAAGCCCGGGGAGAGGCTGGGTGGCACCCCTCTACTGCGCTGTTCTTGAAGAAACTGATCCCTGCCGTTTTTATTACTGTGTTCTTGCCTTCTGTCATTTTCCACAAGATTCTTAACTTCAATGGCTTTTTTTGTCTGTTGCAGGAATTATCTGCCTTTGGCTACTTAAATGTATTAGCTTAGTTTTAACTCTCTGTTAATAGTTTTGTCAACAACTGGTATGTCAAAGGAGGTTTCTAAAGGTAACCTTCACAAACTATTTTCCTCCAAAAATGGCAGCTCTTTCTGTTGATACTGAATGTAAATATGTAATTAACACCATTTGCTGTTAAATCTGGAATCCCGTGGATGGAGGAGCCTGGTGGGCTGCAGTCCATGGGGTCGCTTAGAGTCGGACACGACTGAGCGACTTCACTTTCACTTTTCACTTTCATGCATTGGAGAAGGAAATGGCAACCCACTCCAGTGTTCTCGCCTGGAGAATCCCAGGAATGGGGGAGTCTGGTGGGCTGCCGCCTATGGGGTCAGACACGACTGAAGTGACTTAGCAGCAGCAGCAGCTGTTAAATCTTTGCTTATTAGCTGAGTGCTTTCTCTTTGGTGCCTTGAATATGTTTGACAGTGTGTCATTATTAGACTTGTTACTTAACATAATAATAGTGACAATCATTCTGTTCAGTTCAGTCGCTCAGTTGTATCTGACTCTGCGATCCCATGAACTGCAGCAAGCCAGGCTCCCCTGTCCATCACCAACTCCCAGAGTTCACCCAAACTCATGTCCATCGCATCGGTGATGCCACCAACCACCTCATCCTGTTTTGTCCCCTTCTCCTCCTGCCTTCAATCTTTCCCAACATCAGGGTCTTTTCCAGTAAGTCAGTTCTTCATATCAGGTGGCCAAAGTATAGGAGTTTCAGTACTTCAGTCCTTCCAATGAATATTCAGGACTGATTTCCTTTAGAATTGACTGGTTGGATCTCCTTGCAGTCCAAGGGACTCTCAAGAGTCTTCTCCAACACCAGAGTTCAAAACCATCAATTCTTTGGTGCTCAGCTTTCTTTATAGTCCAACTGTCACATCCATACATGACTACTGGAAAAACCACAGCCTTGACTATACAGACTTTTGTTGGTAAAGTAATGTCTCTGGTTTTTAATATGCTGTCTAGGTTGGTCATAACTTTTCTTCTAAGGCACAAGCATCTTTTAATTTCATGGCTGCAGTCACCATCTGCAGTGATTTTGGAGCCCCAAAACAAAGTCTGTCACTGTTTCCATTGTTTCCCCATCTATTTGCCATGAAGTGATGGGACCAGATGCCATGATCTTAGTTTTCTGAATGTTGAGTTTTAAGCCAACTTTTTCACTCTCTTTTCACTTTCATCAAGAGG